TCTTTCTTTTATCATAGTTTTGATCTTTTTTATCGGTTCTTTTGGCTAGGGCCTTTGTTTAATTTTATTGGATTGAATTTGACGTCGCCTCGACTGATTAAGATGATGCTCATTTAATATCATATTGATCTTTCATTCTTTAGACCCTCGGATTGAATTTGGAAACACAATTTGTGTCATAATTTTCTTACGACGCTCGATTCTGACTTACGATTGCTGGTAGTTTTTCAGTAGTTTAATCCCTTGTCGTGGTTCGTTTTATGATGCAACCAGATTTATTCGTATCTAATTTGATTTGACTTTTTTGGATTAATTTTTAACATTTTGCTTATGTGGTCCATATATGATCACATGTGACTAGTTTCTTATGCCGATGGTTATATCAAATGTCAAATGTTTAGAGTTGTAAACCTTTATTGCAAATCTAATATCTAATTAAATGGGGTATATTTGATCAGTTAAGGTATAGATTAAGGAGCAGTTAGACTAGTATATGTATTGTTTATGGTCCACTTGTAACATCAAAAATTGTAGGGGACTGGGACATAAAGAATAAAAAACAAAGGTATTAGAAAGTTCTTTTCAGATCCAACGTTGATGGCTTTAAAACTTGAGCATAATGGGCAAGCTTCTTCGGTCTTTGTCTACCTTTACAACTTTCCTCTTCTTTTCCTAAATTAAAGATGTATAAACCTCGGCTTACATCAATCAATCCTAGCCGGATTATACCTAAAAAATATTTTTTTTAATTCGTTTCATTTATAATGTTAAAATTAATTATATGTATAATATCTAAATTTTTATTATATTTGTTGTTATCATTTGATTTTAATATTATACTAATCCAAAATAATCATATACATTTCTTAAATATTTGGTTTTAATAAATCTAATTAAGAAGCAAAACACATATTACTAATAGATAATCTTATTTGTAATCTACAAAATAAAAATAAATTGAAAAAAGTATAGCGTAAATTACAAGATTGATCACTTTCATTTAAGTTTTTTTACACTTTTTCTTACCGGGTTAAAAAATAATATTTGGTTTCGAGGGTTAATTATCGTTAGACCTTTAATGGAATGCTGGCGTGACATAATACATTTATAAAATTAAAAAGACTAGATTACACAAATGGTCACTAATGTTTAAGTTTCTACTAAATTTTCAAAAGTAACAAATTGGTCACTAAGACATCATATAGGTCCTTGAACAATGATTTTGTATTTAATTTAACATAAAAGCTTTCTAATTTTCCAAAATTTCCATTATATATATACTTTTAAAATTTAAAAAAAAAACTTAGAAATTAATTTTTTTGGACATGAAGCATTCGAGTATTTCGAATGATAAAAAAATTAGGAAGTTTTTGCAGTAAATTAGATATAAAATCATTGGTCAATGACCTATTTGATGTTTTAATAACCAATTTATTACTTTTGAAACTTCAATATGGAAAATGATAACTTACTCAAACATTAGTGGCCATTTGTCTAGTTTATCATTTTTAATTTTATAATTTCACAATGTCATATCTAGGGTGTTCATATTTCACTTAAAACCGAAAAATTTGACCAAACTGAAATTTCAATCGGTTAATTAGTCAGTTTATTTTGGATTCGATTGGTTAACAGTTAATAGTTTTTTCAAACTTCGGTTATCGATTAGTTCAGTTCAAAACCAGTTAATTAACTGAAATTATTATTTTTAATATATTTATATATCATTTAGCTTTAAGGATGTTTAAACTTTAGTTTTAACCAAATTAATCGATTGAAATAACTAAATAAATAAAAAATATTAAATATTTATATAATATATATTATTTATAAATTTTGGTTAATTCGATAAACCAATCAATTAACCGAACTTAGTTTGGTACGATTAAATTTTTTAAATTTTTTTTGGTTCGATTAACTGTTAAACGAAAAAAAAATCAGTTAATAAATTTCGGGTAATTCAGTTCAATAAGTTAATATAATTAATTAATTAAACACCCTTAGCCATGTCAGTAATCTGTTAAAGTCTAACGACAATAAACATTTAGTGGTCACATCTTAATAAAAAAAAATAAAAGTAGCCAAATCTTAATTAAGTAAAAATGAAAGTGACAAAATATTATATATTTTTTAATTCAATGAGAAACAATATATAAAATTTAAACGAAAGTGATCAATCATGTAGTTTACCAAAAGTGTATATAAATTAAAAAATTTAAAAGGATAAATCAAAAAGTTCATAAATATCTTAATTACAGATGAAAAATAGATCGAATAGAAATAAATATAAATATAGAGATATTATTATAATTATCTCAAATTGACTTTTGCTGTTTAAAGAATTTTTTATTAAAAATAGGTGACTAATGTTTTCTCTGTTACACTTTTAGATGCTCACCGTTTAAAAAAAATCGTTAAATAACACGTGTCATGTGAAGATTTTTTTAACGGTCACTTAACAATTTTTTAACGATGGTCACGTAAAAGTGTAATGGAAAAAAATAGACACTTATTTTTAACAAATTTATTTTTAAACACCAAAAATCAATTTAAGACATAATTTAGACACTTAGAGTGTATCAATCATTTTTTAAATAACTCTATTCAAATTAAAATTTTAAAAAGAATAATCTTATAAATTTAGTGGAATCAAATTTAGATCCTATTACCATACCTATTTATGACTCATCACTGTCTCTCTCTTATAAAAAGCATAAACTACAGAGTTGGTCACTTTTGTTTCAATTTTATAAATGTATGATCATTTGATTCTAAAAACATAATATATGGTCACTTTCTTTCGTTTTAATTAAGATGTGGTCATTGAGACATTAGTTGCCTTGAGTTGGATGAAGTAACATGTTAGTAAAAAGTTTAATTTTTATTTGAACCCTTAAACTTGAGATAAATTATTAATTATGGGACATTTTGTAAACCCAAAATAGTTCATGAATAAAAAATCAATTTACCCCTTTCCCATATGTTTTATTCCTAAATCAGAAATGGAAAATCCCTAAAATTAAAACCCTCAAATTTCATTTTAGCCTCGTCACCTTTCCATCAATCCCCCACCATTGTTCGATTGCTAGTGACCGTTACCGCCGATGCTATCGTGAGCGCCTGATCACCGCGATCAAAATCCCATTGAGTGTGCCTCGTGAGTCACTGTCGTTCGACGTGGAAAGCTCGTCGAAGTTCCCTCGGGGAACTCAAAGCCACCTCACTATTATAAACAAATTTTGGCCGATCCAGTCACTGTCAGGCCTCACCGCCACCATCCATGTGCTCCCCGACGTCTTGTGAACCAAATCCAACTGGTGTCAACATCCCCGTCGCCGTTGTGAAAGGGTGTGAAGTGTGGAGGTTTCGGGTTTGTTGATAAACATATGGGAAGAAGGGTAAATTGATATTTTATCCCATAACTATTTTGGGTTTACAAAAAGACCCATAATTAGTAATTTATCTAAGTTTAATGGTTCAAATAAAAATTAAACTTTTTTATAAATGTGCCACATCATCCAACTCACTGCAACTAACGTTTCAGTGACCACATCTTAATTAAAACGAAAGAAAAGTGACCATATATTATGTTTTTTGAATTGAGTGACTATACATTTATAAAATTAAAATAAAAGTGACAAACTCTGTAGTTTACCCTATAAAAAATATGGAATAAGCAAGTGCACATGGTTTGGGGGCGTAAAGAAGAAGGCTGTTGCGTCAAAAGAAATGAGCAGAGAATCAACGCTACACCATCCCCTTTTGTTGTGGAAGATTTACATTTTTTATTTTTATTTTCTATGATATAAAACAATTTATAAATGTTTTCTTACAAAAATTAATATTTTTAGAAAATAAATAAATAATAAACACATATTCAAATGCTAAATTCACATAATTAATTATTATCCCATCAGTATTAAGAGTGTTAAAAATATTCAATTTAAATTATTTAACCCATTGATCTTTCGATCCGATATAAAATTATAGGATATTTTTCTTTGAGAGGTAAACCCATTTTTGCAGACTGGGTACCCGATTCATTATTTTTGGCAGCTTTCCGGGTTAGACTCGGGCCATAAAATTACCCTTAACAGACTACCCATTAACCAATAGACCTGATTTTTTTTATTTTTTTAAAATTAGATTTTTTATTTCTAATGTCAAAATTATTTTACTTTAACATTCTAAGCATATATTTTTCAAATTATTTCACCTTAACATTTAAATTATTTATTTTAATATTAAATTATTTTAAATTTAATTATAATTTTATTTTATTTTTAGATTATATAATTTGAATTTATAAATTTATAAATTTTACATTTTTATGTGGTTTTTTTCTAAAAAATAATATAAGTTAAAAGAATATAAAATAAATATTAATCGAGTATTTGTGACCATAAAATGCAAATACATGAGTTTTATAAGTATCCGAGTTACATGTATCCGTCTCTTATTGGTCGGATCATGAGTCAAAATTTTATGACCCGAAAATCTCGAGTACCCAATATTTCAAATACAAAAAATCTGAGTATCTGGATTTGATCACCTCTAGTATGTATCTCATGACATGAAGTAAAGTTCATTTTCTAACTGACCAGAGAAATAAACCAAAGAAAATAAGAATACATATGGAAAAATCTCTTTTAATTATTGAAATTTTGCCTGCAAATTAAGATTAAGAATGCCTTTGTCTAGAAGGAACAACGACTTTGTCCACTGCTTCTGCCTAATTTTTTATAAATAAAGATGAGGGGGCAGCAGTAGTGGTAGTAGTTCGATTCACTGGTAAAATCTATGATGGCTCATAAGAAACAATTATTATTCTGATCGGGAAAAAAAACAGTTATTATATAAATAATTATGACTGCTTAACTCTGTATATAATCATAATGAACCCTACTTCCGTATTTCGCTCTTTCAAAAGTCGCTACGTTTCCCACTTGCAACCTCCATGAACGAAGCCTATCACTCTCTTTAGTCTTCCATCTTCTCTAAACTTCACTTCAATCCAACCCTTCTTCTCATTTCTTGTTGAAGACTAGGAAACCTTCTTTTCTGACTCCATTTTCTTCAAGGGCAAAAACCCGACCTTTAATGGAGAAAAAGCAAGGTTTTTTCTCGGCTCTCAAAGAGGAAGTAGTTTGCGGGCTTTCTCCTTCCCGCTGTCGGACCAACAGCAGCCTCGTAAGAGCCCGTTCGCCCATCGCCCTTCTGTTACGGAGAAAGAAAAGCAGCCCCAACAGCCACGGAGGCGCGCAACTGGTCGGGGAAGCTTTAGCCCCGCTCATGGAAGGTCCCGAGCCGGACGGAGGGGAAACCGGGGTTTCGAAGCGGCTCGGCTCGGGGCTAGGACAATGGGTAATGGGACAGTTTTCGAGGACTCCATCGGTTGCTTCAACGAGTTACGGAAGGTCTGATCTAAGGCTGTTGCTTGGGGTCATGGGTGCCCCTTTGGCTCCGGTTCAAGTTAGCTCCACTGACCCGCTGCCTCACTTGAGCATAAAAGACACTCCCATTGTTAGTCCATTTTTCCTTTAAGCTTATTCTATGGTTGAGGGATCCGTTTTCATAAATCATTGTTTTCATTCAAACTGTTTGGTTAGCAAGAAAATAGAGTAGTACAATTTTTTTGGGGTCCAGAATGATACTAATATTACTTTAACACAAAGTTATAGTTGGAACTACAGAGTAGAAAAGGGTGTTTACTGGCTGAGATTGTTTTCTTTCTGCAAAATTCAGAAACAAAAACTTCACATTTGATCGTTACTGGGTTATATGCTGCATTCTCGTGATGAAATATTGTGACTGTAAAATTCCTTCTTGTTTAAGTTTCTTTCGGGTTTTCGATGCGGTATTCTGCAGGAAACTTCCACTGCTCAGTACATATTGCAGCAGTATGCAGCTGCTTCTGGTGGGCTGAAGCTCCAAAATTCCATTAGGAACGCCTACGTGATGGGAAAGCTCAAAATGATAGCTTGTGAATACGAAACTGCGACGAAGACCGTTAAGAACCGATATGGCTCCAGAGGTGCAGAGTCCGGTGGATTCGTGCTTTGGCAAATGAATCCGGACATGTGGTATGTTGAACTCGCGGTCGGCGGCTGCAAGGTTCATGCCGGCTGTAATGGGAAACTTGTGTGGAGACACACTCCTTGGCTTGGTGCTCGTATCGCGAACGGTCCTGTTAGACCCTTGCGCCGAGCGCTCCAGGTGAGGTTTCATATTCTTATCGACTGCTGAATATTGGCTCTCTAGTCATATTTTTTAGCATTGTTAGTATTCTGATATTCTCTTTGTGGTTCATTAAGGGTCTTGATGCAAGAACTACGGCTAGTATGTTTTCTGATGCAAAATGCATAGGAGAGAAGACATTTAATGGTGAGGATTGCTTCATCCTCAAGCTTTGTACCGATCTGCAGACATTGAAGGCAAGGAGCAAAGGCCCGGCAGAGATCATTAGGCATGTTTTATTTGGCTACTTCAGTCAGAAGACTGGACTTCTTGTTCACATGGAGGATTCACATCTCACTCGTATCGAATCCAATGATGGTGATACTGTTTATTGGGAAACCACAATCAATTCATATCTTCATGATTACCGACCCGTCGAAGGTATCATGATAGCACATTCCGGGCGTTCCATCATTACACTTTTCAGGTTCGGGGAAGCTGCAATGAGCCATACTAAAACAAGGATGGAAGAAGCTTGGACGATCGAGGAGGTTGCCTTTAACATACCGGGCCTTTCCATCGATTGTTTTATCCCTCCAGGTGATTTGAGGTCCGGATCTGTCAACGAAACATACGAACTACCTCAGGATGAGATGACAATGAGTGAGGTTGCCTTATCAACACATTATGCCAAAGTTTCCGCCCTCGAGAAGGCACGGGATAGTTGTGCCGGTGGCATGATATGGGGGATGCAAGTCTGAAGAAAGGTTAGAATCAAATCTTAGCAATTGTTCAAATTGGTAGCTAGTTCAGTTGACTAACACATCAGAAAGTCGTTTTTTGGACTTTGATTTCATGCCTCTAGTAATTTGCAAACAGAGTATACTCATTCACAGGTTCTAATGGGGACCCTGCATGAATGTTTATACTCTCGGCGCAGTACCCGACTACGGAGTTGGAGCTCGGCTTTCCAGTTAGGGATAGAGCTAATGGAGGTTGGTTTTTAGTTTACCATTGATGGTAGGTGGCAAAGCTGCCCCATCAACCTTTTTCCTATAGTTACACTAACTGTAACGGTTGATGAAAATATAATGTGGCAGTAGAGGGGATGCTGCCATAGTTTTTTGGTGTTACAATTTCTGGATTTGTGATTCAAAGTGTGGTTGCTTGGCTTGCAAGTTGTTTTTAATTAATATATATATACACATTTCCTTCATTCTTTTCCATATATAAAGATCTTCCTGCACTATATGCTGCAATACCTCAAGCTGTACCAACTAGTGCAGACGACGTTACTCGAAGAGGTAGTCATGAACTCTGAACATAGGTGGTAAAACTCCGAATATAGGACTCCGAACGTAGACAGTAAAAACTCCGAATATAGAACTCCGAATATAGACAGGAAATCGGCTATGAAATGTAAAAGGTTGAGACGAGTAAACATTGCTTTAAGGCAAATGCAGAGGCCCATCTTTGACCATTGGAACCCTAAACACAAACCGGCAGGGGGTAGATGCGTGGCATTTCGAATCATTCAAAGCTAAAAAGCTTATTGGCACGAGATGAAAGTTCTTCAATGCCCCCATGTGATGTCTTTTCTTCTTCTTTTGCTTTTGCTTTGATTCCTTTGCTAAACTGTTTTAACAGATCTTTCCACTCGCTTTTGCAAACCATTTTTTTGCTCAACTGTTTTGAACATTTACTGACAAATCTTTTATTATTTTACCTTTATTTATTTACTGATATATATATATATATATATATATATATATATATATATATATATATATATTTACAAATATGCATTCTTTTATTCATCGATAAAGTCTAATATTTATGTTTTTAAATTAATGTTTGAAAATGTATCGAATACATATATTATAAAATATTAAAAGAAAAACAAAAACCTTGAGAAAACACGTGCGGTATTAATAAATAGTAGCCGGAAAAGTAAGCAATGTCAATGGATAACTTTTGGGTAAATTAAACTCAAGGTCACTTAATTATAGGTTTGATAATAAACACGTCACATTTTTTAAAAGTTAAAAACAAATTACTCAATTAAAATGTTGTTACAATGAAATCATTTCGTTATCAAAATTGAAATGAAAGTCTAATGTGGCACGGTATAATATCATTTTTAGCTCTTAAAACTTATATATTCTACCAATTAAATTTTAACTTAGAACGATTCGATAAATTCAACTCTTTATATTTAAAATTTTCGTCAATTTAGTCCTTTTGTGATATTGTCAAATTAAGAGACTCCACTTGTTAAACTACTATCACACCAGATAAGTAAAAATAACATTTATGAGAGAAAAGCAAACAATTTAAGAAAAAAATAAAACAATCAAATTTTTAAATATAAATTGTTAAATTTATCATATTATTTTAAATTATGAAATTTGATAAAAAAAATATAATTTTAAAAAAATAAAATTATTATTATATCAAATACAATTAATTTAATAATATTTAATAATAAAATAATTTATTTATAACACTATTTTAATTAAATAATATGTTTGTAACTTGAAAAAAATGATGTGTTTATTATCAAATTTATAAAGTGACAATAACCTTAGTTTATTCATAACTTTTTAATATGGTAAACAATAAATGGAGAACATTTAAGAAATTTTAAGAAAAGAAAGTGTCGGCAAAGGAAGTTTCCAAGCTAAAAGTAGTAGCAAAATAGATGTATAACTAAGAGAGTGAATTGAAACCCATATTAATGGTGGAACAATAAGTGACGGATCCAGAAATTTTATAATAAAGTTTAAAAATTTAATATACTTTTTTTAAAAAATAATGGGTATGGTTTTTATTTATTTTCTCCATTTTTTTCTTAACACATCAAACTAAATTCCATATTTTCCCTAAATAATAGGATACATTTGACCTCCTAGGAGGCGTAGTGCATCCGTCCCTAAGAGCAATGGAAGAAGGGTTTAAATAATATCATATGATTTTTAATGTTGTATTTATTCAGAATTTTCTTAACTTATTAACAATACATAAATTTGATTTAAGCTCAAGATATAAAAATTATTTTAGCACAATTTAAGTAAAATCATTTTTATAATTTACGTACTTGAATATAAATTTAAACTTGAAATTTATTTATTTCACAAATTTTAGAGTTCGACTATTAAGTTTGTATATACACATAAAACAACATTTTTATATTAAAAAATAAAAATGCATTGACAATAAAAGGTTTTTCAAGCTCACAATACATATCATTTCGTACAATTAAGAATGACGGGACTTGAATATATCACGTTCTCTCGGTGGTTAAAGGTATTGTTGTTCTATTTTGAGATAATGAGTTTTATTAATTGCATCTATAGAGTGTGTACATATCATCAATGATTTAGTGAAAATAAGAATAGATAATATATCGTAATCATCCAGACAATTAAAAAGAAAGAAAGGAATGATGAGAGTTCTGCTGGGCCTCAAAGTCTCAGAAGCCAGCAAGCAGCAGGCTCTGCTTTCCGAGCTTGGAAATGATAGGTTGGGTCCAGATTGGTCGACCCGCATCACTCACTAACTGGGCCTATGCCTAAGATTCAACACTTTGGGTTGACTTTCAATTTACTTTGTTAAAAGGGTAAATTACAAATTTGATAACTAAATTTCACCCACTCTCCATTTCACGCAATGTACTTTAATTTTTTTCAATTTCATCACCAAACTTAATACATTGAGTTTTTTTTGTCACTAAATCGTTTCCCCCCTTTTTTTTGTCCAATATGGCAAACCGGTAGATTATTTGAGAAAATGGAATAAGCCTAAGTTTATTTGAGATCTACGACATTTTCTACAGTGTTCATGAAACTCGTCACATCGAAGTGATGAGTTCCAATAAAATATATTTTTTTATTAAAATTTATCACATTGAGGTAAAAAGTTTGAATAAAAAAAATATTTTTATTCGAACTCTTCACCTCGATATGACGAGTTTCATGCATGGTAGAAAATACCGTAGATCCCAAAATAAAAATGTTTGTGCCCTATTTTGCAAATTCTTTTCGGGTTGCCCTATTGGGCCAAAAAACATTATTTTCTCACTAACGACGTTATAAAAAGGTTTATATATAGATACAAAATGATGTCATTTTGGTGAAATTTTTTTTTTTTAAACAATGTCATTTTAGCACCATTAATTATTTAATTTCGGAACGATAAAAAAACTCAAAATACTAAAATCAGTGAAGAAAGTGAAATTTTTTAAAGTACAGTGAGCAAAATAGGAGAGGGAGTAAAATTTAGCGATGCAGTTTGTAATTTACCCTTTTGAAAAATACAAGTTTCCGTTATAATGCAATAGCAGTAACATTTATGTTGAGCCCAAAGCCCTCACACAAGACCGCTCGTAAAGCAAACCACCCAAAGGAAAGGGGAAAAAAACTCAAGTTTTTAAATTTGATTTAAAATTTTAATTTAGGGTAAATTACATAAAATACCACCAAAATTTGGGTAGTATATAATTTATACTACTAAAATTTCAAATTCTTCAATTACAATTCTAAACATTGGTTTTGACTTCAATTATACCATTGAGCCATTAAAATTGAAATGGTGTAATGTCATGAACAAAATAATATCGTTTTGGTGCGATTATATATATGCATAAAATGATTTCGTTTTAGACATTAAACTTTAGGGATGTGTCGATTTTGTCACTAAATTTTTAAGCAATTTAATTTTGAGCAATGCACTTTTTTGGTTGTCGTCGGCAACTAATTGTTTCATGTCATCGATTGTCTTTCAAGGCAAGATCAGTACCAAAATTTTTGTATTTTCTCTCATCTTTATTCTCATAAGATTAGTTTTCCACGAGATTCACTCAAAATCAACTGAGTTAACATAGTACCAGTTTTAGGAGTTTGAGGCTTTCTCAAATTGAGAGGTTTTTGGGGTTTTTTTTCCAAAAAATTTGAACGGTGAGAAGTATTATTCTGAAAAGGTGAATAACATACCTCAAAACTTGTCTCATTAGACGTATAAGTATGTCAAACAATGGCAGATCCACTGTAACACCCTAATCCAATCCGACCCGAAGATCCATAGATTACATTGTTACACGGGACTACTGAAATAATGATCCAAAAATTTTCTTTAAAAATTGCTTATAAATCAACTGATAATAATTCATCCATAGCAGTTAAAATAAAACATGACAATAATATGAGTTTACAAAATATGGGGAGCTCCCAAAATATATCCCAAAAACTACAATTACTGAGTACAAATCAAGGTTACGACTGAATACACTTAAGAGTCTATAAATAGTACATGCCCTCTAAGAATGACTCAAGACGTACTCTGCTAGTCTCTGAAAATCTGATTTGCTGAACTGGAATGTCTGGCGACATAACTCCCCACGAACATTCCCCCTAAGAACTTGTGCACGGAAACACATTCCGAACGTTGAGCTTACGAGCTTAATGTCTCACTAATAACTGAAATATACTACATGCATTCATTAAATAAACTGGCTAGCGGCATTGGTATGAAATATGCAAATATGGATCTACTAAATTGGGGCTGACATCATGGTAAGGTTGAGGGTTCTGTATCTCAGAGCTCACGCACCCCTCTAGCCTGTCGGTATACCCTTGGGTACCAAGGTGAGATCCGAAAATGTATCGAAAACGTACACCCGACCCCTTAGGTATATAGGGTGAGATCCGGAGTTGTATCAGAAACGTACACCCTGCCAACTTACTTCGTCAAGTCTTGGGGCATCTGCGTCCAATTGACTACTGAGGTGCCTTGGAACTGAATTAGATATCTGATGACTGTCGTGTTCTGTAAGAGAGACACAGTTGTCCTGACTGTTTTTAGAGCGTCAAACAAAGCTAGTTTTATGTAATCCTAGATGTTACTATTTCTATTGTTCTGATATTAATTTCTTTTCACTTGAAGTCTTATTTTTTGTTATTCTAAGTATATGGGGTACCTCGAGTCTGATCCCTTATTCTTTGCATTATTTATCCAAAACTATTTGTGGGTACCAATACTGACCCTTTAGTATCAATACTAATCCTTTGGTATCGATACCCACCTGTTGGTATAGATACCCCCTGACTAATAAAGGCTGTTTGGATAAGGTTGAGTATCAATACTCTAATGTTGAGGTATCGATGCTTGTCTAAGTATCAATACCAAATTTAGGTTTGATGTTTTGAAAAATACACTAGTATCGATACCCCTATGGGGAGTATCAATACTCATGTCCTAATATTGATACTATACGAATGAGTATCGATACTACCCCTTTAAAATTGCCTAATTTTTGTCTAAATGAAGAACAATATCGATATTGTTCTTATAGTATCGATACCTTTCTACGGGGTAACATGTTTTGGCACGAAAAATCCCATCTTTTAACCCTAAAAGTCCCATTGAGGTCCCTAACTGATGTTTAAGTGTTTTATTTGATAATTGGGGTCATAAAGAGTCTGTAAACATGCTGAAAACACCCAAATAATGAAATCTATCATGACATGCTTCAAGCTTATGTGACCTATCAATCTCACCTAAATGAGCTACATGTGGTATAGTTGAGTTAGAAGTGAGTTACCTAATGATTCTAAGTTACTAGGAGTGTCCAAAGATCAATCCAAGGTGAGCTTTTCTTTCCCACTTACTTTGGAGCTTTCTCCAACTTCTCTCTACAAGATAACCAAATGCATTAGTTACTAACTTGTTTTAGTGGTTAAAAAGGGTTTAAAAACACTTCATAATGCTAGAAATCACTGAAAATGAACTGAATCTTCCAAGCTCATCAACCCTCTTAAAACCCTTTTTTGCAACTATAGTTAAACTTTGCTCTTGAGGTCTCAAATGAAAGATTTAAACGTGCTAATTTTGATTCTTACCTTTGAAACACTGAACTAGGTTTAAAAGATCACCAAGTTTTCACCTTTGGAGATTGCAAGGGAAAGAAGAATGAAGGATAAAAAAGGAAGAAGAAGAGACAAAGAAGGGTGAAGAAAAAAAGAGAAGGTTTCCAGACGTGAGATCACCAGTCTCAATTGGTTTTCAACCTTTATTTTGAAGAATTAGGTTTAAAAGACCACCAAGTTTTCACCTTTGGAGACTACAAGGGAAGGAAGAATGAAGGATGAAAAAGGAAGAAGAAGACACAAAGAAGGGTAAAAAAAGAGAGAGAAGATTGCCAGACATGAGATCACCAACCTTAATTGGTTTTCAACCTTTATTTTGAACAATGGTTAATTACTCCTTTGGTCCCTCCAATTTTGACTGCAAACTAAAAATATTATTTTTATCCACTATTGGGCTTAATCAAAGCCCAAAACCATTTCAACTTGGGTCAAAGCTTCCTATAAACCAAAGAATTAAATCAAGGCCCATCTCGGGTTAACCCAAAACTCCTAACCTGGGATCTGGGGTGTTACAATCACCCTTACTTAAGGGCGGGCACATGCCTATCTTGAAATCTGAATTTTCTTCGGTTAGTTATCTATTTTATTGATTGTGTTCACCTTGAAATTTTTGTGTACCCATTTCATACGAAAATTTTATGTTATTAATATATGTATGCACACATTCAAAAATATTTGTGGATCCGTCACTGATGTGAAACCTTTAAATGGATTTTCACGAACCTTGTGTCGATTTGATCCTGATATTTACCTTGAGAATATAATATATTTGTACTTGATAAAAAAGTATTTAATTTTTTGTTTAAATTTAATTTAATATCTAATTTTTAAAATTTTGAATTTAAAATTGAAGTTTTAAGGTTTAGAATTGGTTAAATAAAAGTAAAAGGCTATTGATAAAAAAACAAATAAATGATGGGAGAAGGAGGTAGCTACCAACATACAAAAGAAACAATGAAAAGTCATAAAAAATCTCTCAATGAATACAATCCCATCGTCAAATACTCATAGTGAAAAGGCCCTTCAAAGAGACTTCAACTTAATGATATCACTGGAAATTAATGTAAATAAACCATCGAAACTGAAAACGAAACAGATGCGAACGTAGAAGAGCCCTTTCGTTTAAAGCATCAGAGTCAGAACAGCCCATCCAACCACCGCCGAGCTTCCTACCCTCCACATTTTCTCTACGCCACTCTGGCTCTGCAGTTCAATGTTAAAAACAAATGATATTTAGTAATGTATAACCAAGAAATATATACGATAAAACAAAAGAATGTATATATATATATATACCACATCACTTCCTGATGGGCCTGGTGAAGAAGCGCCCAGGCTAGGAGCAGGGGCCTCGGTTGACGGAGACGGAGACGGTGGGCTCGACCCCAACGGTGATAGCGCCGGAGATTTGGCTTTCGGTTTGCTAGGTGCCGGTGCTGGAACCGCTGCTGGTGGAGAAGCCAAAGGAGCAGGTGGTGGGGTTGCGGGAGGAGGAGTTGCAGGTGGAGGGGTAGCGGGAGGAGGAGAAGAGGGTGGTGGGGTTGCGGGAGGTGGAGAAGCCGGTGGAGGAGTGGCGGGAGGTGGGGTGGCAGGAGGAGGAGAGCTAACTGGTGGGGGAGTTGCTGGAGGAGGAGAGCTAGGAGGAGGAGTTGAAACCGGGGGTGGAGAAGCTGTCACTGGAGGAGGTGATAAAGTTGGAGGAGGAGTGGATGCCGGAGGCGGGGTAGCGGTGGGCGTCGGAGGTGGCTGAGTGGTAGGCGGAGGCGTGGAAGCTGGAGGGGTGGGAGGTGCCGGCGTGGATGTAGGAGGATTACTGGGAGTAGGAGGAGCTTGGCCTAAAACGCCAGCTACAGCAGTGCAAAACAAAGCTGATAGAAACAAACATTTATGATCAAGCATCATGTTGGAACAATGGCGATCTCTAGTCCTGCGCAACCTCCCTGCTTAAACTACGCCCAACACTTTAGAACTGAGGGATAGAGAGAAAGAGGAGAAGGAAGAGCAAGTATGAGGAATGAATTGGTGGTATATATTTATACAGCATATATGCAGTTCTTTATTAGTTTAGTTGACCCTATTTTTATATGTAATGGGGTGAGGGGAGGTAGGATAGTAGGCTGCTCCAAACGCTAGGTTGAGAGCAGCTTTCGTGGAAGACCTTCGACAGTTAGAGTTATGAATTACCCACCGTGAGACTCGATTCCACGACCACAAGGTTAAGAGCATTGCGCTCTACCAACTAAGTTGGACGGGCAATTTATATAAAGTTCTGTATCATCCTCCAAATTTTAAACCTCAAATATTATTCATTGTACGGTCTAATGAAAAACGTAACATGCTTTCCAAATTTACACAATTAATTAAACTTCTCGAAATATTATTTATAATATTTTTAACCATTTATATGTTATAATATTATATTTAATGATTTATACACTTTAAAATTTTGAATATGAATGGCTAAATAAATGTTTAAGTAAAGATAAAAATTAAAATTTGGAATTGATATTAAATCTCAGTCTGATAACTTCTGATTTGATAAAATTTTAACTTTTTTTTTAAAAAAAAATTAAAATTAAATGGAGTCGAGTTGAATACAGGTTTATGGTTAAAAACGTAATCTAGTCTTACGTGGCCCGATATAATATTGTAATCACTTAGTATTTATTGAAAGATAATTACAATAATATCCATTTTTATATTATTTTTTCAATTATGTTTTTATTTTACCAAATAGAAATAATGTATGTGTCTATATATATATATATATGCATGTCAAATTTCAAACTAAATGAAATTTTTTTATACTAGGATTGAATCAACTGCAAATAGATAAATTTATTTTTTGAGTTACGTTTGGAATTACAAATAACTCGACCCGATCCTTAACTATCCCTAATATAAATTTGATTTATGATATAATTCACTTAGGGCTGTAAACGAGTCGAGTCGAGCTCGAGTATTAATATGTTCGACTCGAATTGAAAACTCTGAAATGGAGCTCGACTTGACTTGAAAACTCGCGAGCCTAAAATTTTCAAGCTCGACTCGAGCTCAAACTCGAAATCATAAACTGAAGCTTGTAAAAGTTCGAAATGAAAAAAAATCTTAAACATAACTCGATCGAAGCCTTAAACTCAAACTCGAACCGGAACCTTAAATACATAAAAATCTTGTACTGTATTTTTTGAAAAGCAACATATAAATTTTTAATATAATTAACAATTATTTTTTAAAAAAAAATAAATCTTAATATGTTATATTTTCGAGCTGGTCACGAGTTTTTCGAGTCGAGTATCAAGTAGCTCGTTAAGAACTCGAGTCGAGTCTATTCGAGTCGAATATTTTCCGGACTTTGATCGAATCGATCTCGAATAACTCACGATATGTCTCATTTACGGTCCTAAATTCACCTAGAAAGGAAAATTTGATTGGATTAGATTGAATTGGGTACAAAGTTTGAAAAAGATGCATGTGAAAGATGAATTAAGGGTGGCTGTGGGGGGTCCATTGGAATAGCTGGAATTTTTAAATTATGAAACAAATGTAATTTGTACGCCAAGTAACATAAAGTTGGGGAAGAGGAAAAATGATGGGAGACTTGGTTGGTATGTTGGAGCACCTGCGCAGGCGGCACCGCCACCATTAGTTGGGCCATGCCCCCCAATCATGTTCTTCTCTTCCTCAACACCATCATCGTTACTTCCTCTTCCAAATCCTCATCTTCCTCCCTTAATTATGATTTAATCTTAGATTTATCATTTATATTTTAATTTAATATAATTTGATCCTTCTATATCCACAAGTTCATTAGTTAGTTTAAACAGTTAACATCATTAACTGTCATTGTCGACGATGAAACTGTATCGTCATCACGACTTCCAACTATCATAATCTTTCATACAAATGATTAAATTGGTTTCACGTTTCACTTTATAATTGGTGCCCTTATTACGTGGCCTTTGCTTATAAATCATTTCATTTTTTAAAAAATAACCTTCTCTATTTACATGGATTAATTATTTTTTCAACCAGGTTCCATTTGGATGTAATTGTCGGTTTAGATCTATTATGAAATAATTTGAAATGTGTGTATTTACTCTATGAACTGCTTCCATTATGATTTATCTTTTTATTTTGATCAAAACCAAACTATCATATTTAATTTGGTTTTCCAGACGATATATATATATATATATATATCATATATTTTAAATTTGTTCCAAATCATACTCGAATATTAACGTCAAAGTTTATTATTAAATAGAGAAAAGAACATAATTAACAAGCTTTAAGGGTTATTTTTGTTCCTATAGTAGACTCAATTTATCACTTTTGCCGTTATCGTATTTTTGCATCAATTTAACCCTCAAAGTTGTTTAATTGCATCATTCTATACCCTTCCCCTAACTTAAAACTCTAAATCATAAATCTTAAATTAGTGTTTAGGGTTTAAGGTTTTAAGTTGAGGATAGGGTATAAAATGATGCAATTGAGTAATTTCAAGGGCTAAATTGATGCGAAAATACGATAGGGACCCCTTAGTAAATTCAATTTATCATTTTCGTCCTATCGTTTTTTCTTTTTGCATCACTTTAGCCCTCGAAGTTGTCTATGGTGTTCATCCTAGCCATCGAAATTCGTTGACTGCTTTTTACTAACAGAATTGTGAGTCTTTTGCGTCTATGAATTAATGGATTAGGTTAAATAATTTATTAAGCACACTGGTTAGAACAAATTCCCAAAATTTAATTATTTATTTCAGTGAGAAAGAGATTGTGTCAAATTTTTGAGGATTTTATCTAATAGTTGTATTTAGTAAATAATTTAAATATTTTATTATTTATATTTTTTATAATTGCCACATCATCATCAAGTTATGTCGGTAATATTTGGTTGATTTGAAAATTGATGGTGTTGAAAAATGCAGAAGATTATGGTTTTGTTAGTCAAAACGAACTTCGAGGGTTAGGATAAACATTATAGACAACTTCGATGACTAAATTGATGAAAAAAATGATATGAACGAAAATAATAAATTTGATTTAATACAAAGCGACAATGACCCTTTTACCTAAAAATTTCATATTATCTCTAAACCTGAACCCACTTTCAAACTTAATCAATAAAAAAGTCCTAACAATAGTTAACCCAAAATTTAAACTTTAGGTTGGCTCGCAATTTTATCCAACGGTTCATCATCAATGAGGTTTTTGATCTTAATCAGCCGGTCCCATTCGGTTATTTTCTTAATGATTGCCTTAATATGCTCCTTTTTCCCTTTTACTTTGGATACTCAGATCTTATCTTTGCTTTGCTTTACCTTAATTTAGCAGAGAAATAATTATGAACCATTGAATGAGTTCTCTAATATTCTCCGTGTTTGCTTTAATTGACTCCATTTGGCCCTTTGTTTCTTCAAATTGTACCACCTAACGTCTTAAATAACGTCCTTTCTTTGGGGTCATCATACAATTCGTTAACACTTGCATAAATTTAAGGGACACTTTGCATGTGACATTGCTACAACTAGAGGTTTCCCATGTGACCAACTAATGAAATGTATGTTCAAAATAAATTAATCGGGCTCGTAAACTATTCAAATAAGTATAATAATATTTAGTCTTTGTTGATCGGTTGTGGCATCAATTTTAATGTTGGTTGTTGACCGCTGGTATTATTTATTGTCTTTTTTCTTTTTTATATCATATATTTTTTTTTTATTTTTTTTTTCAATAAGTATGCCCGTATGACACGTTTTCATAAGCCTTCATGGCACATTTTTCGATTGTTTAATTGTTTTTTAATTTATCTTTTTTTCTTCTAAGGGTTGGTTTGACATCGTCACGACTGATCAAGATGGCGCTTATATGATATCTTGTTGATCTTTCATACTTTGGACCCTTAAATTGGATTTGAATATCCTATTTGAGTTCGTGTATAGCTTTTCACGTCGTTCGAGTCTGATTTTTTTATCGGTGGTCTTTCAATAGCTTGACCCTTTTTATAATTCGTTTGCCGATGCGACCGGATCTAATTGTATCTATTTTTTTCCGAGTTTTTTGGTTATATTTTTAATCTTTCCTTGTGTAGTTCTTATGTGATCTTAAGTTGTTAGTTTTTTTCCAATGATTATAGGAAAAATTTCTAATTATGTGCTTAATTTACGATCTTGATTGTAAATCTTAATTGTAATTTGGGATGTTTCCTATTTTGAATAAAATTAATTGTTTCGATAAAAAAAATATCATAATATTTAAATATAATTAACAATCAATTAGTTTAACATGATGATGCATCATTTAAATAAAAATAAAGAGTTTAAATTTTAAGGTTGTGAACGTAGAAAATCGAATTAATCATTCTCATATACCAATGATAGTTTAAAGAAAATACTATCGAGGGTTGAATTGTTTATTATATCAAATAGTAATTGTTTTTAAAGAAAAACAACTCAAAGTGGTCCGTAAGTAGCTTAGAGTAGAAGGGATTGAGCAGAGGGTCCCTCAGGTTTAACCATCATTTTCTCCAAATGTTAAGTGATGTGAACTGCTTAGTGAATTCAGTCATTAATCATTTAATTGATTAATTTCATGTCATAATTTTGCTTCAACTGCAAAACCATGTGCCACTCATTCTCTCTCTCAATTGTACTTCCTACTGATAATTTGACCTATGAATTGTGAGTTTTAAAGAAATATATTAATTTTCTTTTAATTCCCATTTCGAAGGACGTATAAAAGGTGGATGGAAGAAACTGGGAAGTGTCTGCATATTGTCGGAATCGTTTGGACTTTGAAATTGGACTTCGACTTAAGAAGATGGATTAAGAAGTCACCACCGATCATTTATTTTATTAAAAATAAGTTGATCAGATACATTATTTCTTACCTAATTTGCATCTTACCAGTGATATGTCGGATTCGGGAGTCGGTTACAGTCAAAGAAGGATTAGCACCCTTTAACTGCACTTTCGATACTACGTAGTTCCCAGTTGTCATTAAATAAGAAAATTG